GAAGGAACAGGTGATGGAACAGGTTCTTCCATACAGGGCAACCTGACAGGGGGAAGAAATCAAAGAGGAATTGAAATAAATTCCTTGAAGGAACCTGTTCATGATCCTGTTCCTCAGCAAATGGCAGAAGCATCTAGCAGAAGCCAGTTGGTTGTGAAACCTCACAAGTATCAAAGTTCTCATCCCATTGAGAACATTCTCACTGATCCAACATCTGGAGTCAAAACCAGATCACAATTAAAGAATCTGTGTGCTTTTGATGCATTTTTATCTCTTATTGAACCTAAAAATGTTGTTGAGGCTTTGCAGGATGCAGATTAGGTCAATGCAATGCAAGATGAACTCAACCAATTTGAAAGAAGTCAAGTTTGGAACCTAGTACCAAGACCCAAAGACAGATCAATCATTGGTACAAAATGGGTCTTCAGGAACAAACTTGATGAAGATGGAACAGTTACAAGGAACAAGGCAAGATTGGTGGTCCAAGGTTACAGACAGGAGAAGGGCATAGACTATGATGAGACTTTTGCTCCAGTTGCAAGACTAGAGGAAATCAGACTTCTCATAGCCTTTGCAGCACATATGGAATTTACTCTTCATCAGATGGATGTCAAAAGTGCCTTCCTAAATGGCTATCTAAAGGAAGAAGTGTTTGTGAAACAACCTCCAGGGTTTGAGAGTAAGGAATGTCCTGAGCATGTGTACAAGCTGGACAAGGCTCTCTATGGACTCAAGCAGGCTCCAAGAGCATGGTATGAACGACTGTCAAAATTCCTGCTGGAGCATGGTTACAAGAGAGGTAAAATAGATAGTACCTTATTCTTAAAGGAAAAAGGTAAGGATCTCCTTGTTGTGCAAATTTATGTTGATGACATAATCTTTGGGGCCACCACTGACAAGCTAAGTAGGGACTTTGCAAAGTTAATGGGGAGTGAGTTTGAAATGAGCATGATGGGTGAGCTTAATTTCTTCTTAGGCTTACAGATCAAACAAAGTCCAAATGGAACCATGATNGAGTAAACCCAGGATCCCAGCCTCTAGCCTTCGACGCGTTCGCGTTCCTTCCCACGCGATCGCGATGCCTACCCAGCTTACCCTTCGCGAACGCGGCCCCTTTCCCGCGAACGCGAAGGGCATTTTCGCCCAGTGATTTTTAAAGTTCAAAACATAACCATTACGGGATTATTCCCATTCTTTCATAAAACTTGTCTTCTTCAAGCTCTAGGGGCGATTTTTGGAGCTCTACTTCACCAAAGTCTTTGGGTAAGTAATTTCCCACCTAATTCCTTCACTCCTCTTCATTAATTACTGAATTCCTAGACCTAAATCATGAAATCAAAGTAGAAATTAAGGGTTTTGGGTAGAGCTAGGGTTTTGAGAATTTTGGGTGATTCAACCTCAATTTGGGGTCGAATCTTAAAACAAATTGCATATTTGAACTCGTGGGGTTATGGGTGATTGGGTTTTGGTCCGAGCCTCGTGTTTGGACCATGTGGGCCCGGTGTCGAATTTTGGTATTTTTGGAAGAATGCTAGGAGATTCATATCTAGGCTATGGGATGTTACCATTGAGTCTTTATTGATATTATCGAATTAATTATGCCTAGATACCATTGTTTCAGAGTCGGATTGTAGAGGAAAGGCGGTATTTGAGGATTGATTGCTATTCTTTGGACCGAGGTAAGTGTTTGATCTAACTTTGGCTTGAAGGAATAGGATTAGAGTGTTATTATTTGCTAATTGCTAAATGATCGAGTACGGTGTATAGGCATGGTGACGAGTATCTATACACCGGTGTCTAGCATGACCGTGGGTCATTGTATGAATTTATCCTGATATTGTTATGACTGTTCCATGTTAATTGATGAATTCTATGCAATGTGAAGAGTATGAGGACTAATTATGAATTGCAAATTCTTTGGAGCGTTGGCTCGAACGATAAAGAGACTATTGAGTAAGAAATGAAAGAAATAGGAAGTGGTATGATTAATCCCTTGTCGGGTTGGTTCGAGTATATTGATTATCTCCCTTGCCGGGATGTGAAAGTATTGTTGTTGCTCCCTTGCCGGGATTTAGCTGTTAATTGTGTAATTCCCTTGCCGGGACATTTCCTATTATTTGTTTATCCCCTCGCCCGGTTTGGTTGTGATTACTGTTTGGGTGAGGAAGAGTGATAATGCATGAAGGGTCATTCTGTGCCATGTTTTGATTATATTTGCACGAAGGGTCATTCCGTGCCATGCTTTGATTATATTTGCATGAAGGGTCATTCCATGCCATGTTTTGAATATTTATGCACGAAGGGACATTCCGTGCTCTGATTTGATTATAATTGCACGAAGGATCATTCTGTGCCATGATATGAGAGTTACGTGAGGGAAAGCACGAAGGGTGATGCCGTGCACTTTATTTGATTGTTTTTGGTGAGAATGAGAGTAAAAGCACGAAGGTTGATGCCGTGCAACTGCTGATTTTCCCGCCCTCATTAATTATTGTTATTGCCCTATTTCTTATGTAAATTGTTGACTTTATATCCGGATTGTACTCCCCCATAGTATGCTCCCCTCCCTCTTAACTGTTTAATTGCTTTGTTCTTTCCTTTTATTGCATATAGATATTGAACTACACAGGTTGGTTTGGTAGTCCTGTCTAGCCTCGTCACTATTTCGCCGGGGTTAGGCCAGGCACTTACCAGCACATGGGGTCGGTTGTGTTGATGCTACACTTTTGTGCTCTTTTGCACAGATCACGGTACCGGAGCAGCTTTTGGACCACAGCAGTAGGATATTGATCGGGAGCTGACTTCAGTCCAGGGACTTACGAGGTAGTCTAGCTGACGTTCGCAGGCCGGAGTCCCTTTCTATGTTTTCAGTTTGTTTTCATTGTACCGAGACAGACATTTATGCATTTTCTATTCAGACTTGTTTGTAGCACTCTTTAGTAGTTCGTGAGATAGCGACACCAGTCTTGGGTAGAGAAATGTTAAACTTCCGCATTTTGGGTTTTCAGTTAGCTATGTTTTAAAGACTTCCGCTTTAATTTAAACGGCCCATTATATTTACATTCTTATTGTTGAGGTGAAATTAGGGAATGTTAAAATGTTTGGCTTGCCTCCGTTAGTAGGCGGCATCACAACTCGCGATGGTGGGAAATCCGGGTCGTGACAAGTGTATTCGACTGTATTCATGGCGTGAAACATGGGATTACAGCTGGACAGATTATTGTATTCGACTGTATTCACGGCGTGAAACAGGGGATTACACTGTTTTTAAACGGAAAGTGAATCAATTAACATAATAGACTCCTAATATAACTCAACAAACTCAATTATAACACACAAGATTTATATTTCCTTGTATAAAAAAAGATTCTCAACCGAAAAATACCACAAAACATAGCAATCTTCAGAAAAATTATATAATACATCTGAATACATAAATTATATTAATTAAAAAAAATATGAATACATTCATGGCATATAGCGAGACAGTGAATACAATGAAATGCATAGAATACAGCGGGATATATTGAAATATAATGAAAAAAAAGACAGTGAATACAATGAAATACATGGAACAGCGAGATACGTTGAATTACAATGAAAAAAAAGACAATGAATACATTGAAATACATGAAAATACAGCGTGATACGTTAAAAATACATTGAAATATATTAACAGAAAATCAAGTAGGGATTTGGTGGAAGAATGACGGAGTCTAGTTCAAGAGCGTTGGCGCCGGAGAATAGCCCAAAAAATAGGGAAGAATGACATGTATCAAAGTAGAGAGAGAAAGAAAATAGTGTAACTAAATAGNGCCACTAATATTTTAGCTTAAATAATTCATTAGTGGCAATTACGTAATTGCTGCTAAATAATTGCCGCCAAAGACCTTTTTTGTAGTAGTGGCCTTGCAAATCCGAGGTCAGGGTTCGCAATTGCGACCACTGTCAATGTCGCATTTGCGAGGCTTCCATCGCAAATGCGAAGGAAGCTGGGCCTGGGCCTGGGCATGTTTGCAATCGCGAACTATTCTTCGCATTTGCGAAGTAGTTAGGGAGGGGCAATTCATTGCAATTGCGACCAAAGGTTCGCAATTGCGACAGTAGCAGAAATGCGACAGGTTCGCATTTGCGAGCTTCGCAATTGCGAAGCTCTGGTCGCAAATGTGACATCTGCAACTGTTCAAAATGAAACATGGATGGGATTTTCACCCATTCTTCACATTTCTCAAATCCTAATACCCTAGAGGCGATTCTCCCAAGACCAAATCTTCCCCAAAATTTTGGTACACCAAATCAAATATTTAAGAATTTAATATAACTCATATACAAGAAGGGGTCGTGTCTCTATTACGACTGTTATTCGATATTTTATAAACTTAAATAATTTCAATATTATTAGGTTCTATTTCAAAAATGTTGATAATTTTATATGGTTGGTAAAGGAGTTTATACAAAAATTAATTGGTATATCATAATTCATACTAAACAAAGTATTACTTGTGATTTTCTAATATAATTTAAATAAATATTAACCTTGTGCTTTTATCGATTTATTGATCACTAATTGTATTCAATTTGAATATGCATAATTAATTGTCTAATGATATTTTGATAACCTCATAATTATCATAAATCTAATTAAGCACTAATTTTTTTAAAATTAATATAATTGAAATAGGTATAATAAACTAACAATATCATATAGTACGAAAGAAGCTTTAAAGAAAAAGGTAAATTAGAATACCTTCATTTTATTTAAATAGTTTATTGTTTCTATGTTACTTATTATAAATTAAGTATTTATAGTATTTATTCTTTTTGGCTTTTGGTAGTTTTTGTTTACTTATATTCTTTAGCACTTACATTTTTTGCATATAATATACGTGTATTATTAAGAAGCAAAAGAAAACAAAAATCTATACTAGTATATAACAACAAGCTAGTAAAATTTCTACCAAAGAAAAAAAAAACAAGTTAGTAAAATAAACTAAACTACAAAGGCCATTTAGCCCAAAGAAAAGTCTGTAAAACCTAATAAACACTCTGACCTCCTCTGTGTCCCGCCGCCACTTCCCCTTCCCCACTTTTTTATTTCATTCTTTAACCACGGTTAAACTAAGAAGACTGAGAATGACAAAGAAGAGCGAGAGAACCCAATCGCTTCTCTATTCTTAGACATAAGAGGTGAGCTCATATTTCTATATTTTAGAGTTTGTGAATCTTTTTATATCTGCTTCACTTGGATTATTTGGGTAAAATTTTGTGAACTATTCCAGCAATTTGATAGATATTGTATTTTATTTTTGATAAACAGTGATTGAGAATTATTCTGTGGTACCTGTGATACATACATGATCAATTATTTTTGCTTCGCGGTATTAGAATATTTTTTCATTGACAGGTAGATTGGTGGACTTAGAGCAATGACAAGTTCAGAGAGGAGGAGTGAAAGAAGAAGATGGTGTCTCAAGCAAGATGGCGTTGTACAAGAATTGTGTATCATGAATGCTTTGAAATTTACAATTTTGTGTAACTTAAAACCTATTGTCGAATGTAAATTTCTTTTATTCTTAGCTACGTTATTAAAAGCCTTATGTGTAACTTTGAATTTGTTTTGGAATCTCAAATATTTAGAATTTTAGCTATTACGAAAATTATTGTGACTAGTTATTCTTGTAGTAAAGAAACAAATTCTTTAATTTGTGGCAATAAAAGCTTGAATTTATGGCTATATATATATATACACTATCGCGTAGCAAAAATATGGTTATACATTTTCACTTTCCATAGCAAATCAAGAAATCTTTAGCTGTAATTTTATATATTTCATGGCAGTAGAATGGATTTTGAGCTACCTAAATATTTGTGGCAAATACTTCAATTCATAGCTATAAATTTTTGAACTTGTAGCTGAAAAAAGTACTATTGTCACGAAACTAAAATGTAAAAATAGCCACAAGATTTGAATTTTTGTGGCAAACAAATTAAGTCTTTTGCCACAGTAAAACACCTTGTGGCACAATATAAAGATTGCTATATAGTTTATTTGTCGTGGCAAAAAACTAGGAGTATTTGCTATGAGTATATATTTCGCAGCAAAAAAGTATTATCAACATAGCTACAACGCAGAAAATATTCGTAGCAATAAGTATTGGTCCTTAGCCATGGATCATATAAAGTCTGTAGCTAACTTTTAGTTACGCTACATTTTGCTACGGATGCTACGGAAAAAAAAAATATGGCTAAAGTGTTTAGCTACGGTAACTTTCATATTTAGCTACAATGTATTTTGTAGCTACATATGCAAAATGTTGTAGTAAAGTTAAGAAAGAGGAATATATTGTCAATTGGTTTGTGAAAAGCAGCAGTAGGGATTTGGTGGAAGAATGGCGGAGTGTTAAGAAAGAGAAATATATTGGCAATTGGTTTGTGAAAAGCAGCAGTAGGGATTTGGTGGAAGAATGACGGAGTCTAGTTCAAGAGCGTTGGCGCCGGAGAATAGCCCAAAAAATAGGGAAGAATGACATGTATCAAAGTAGAGAGAGAAAGAAAATAGTGTAACTAAATAGCGTATTTAGTGGCTTAGGGATAGGAGGTAACCAAAATTAGATATTTTGCTATAAACATTAAAATGTATCTATAGAATATAATTTTTTCAAATGGTATTTATTCAAAATAAATAAGGTGTTAACCTTTGCTATATGAAGTAAAAATTCCTTTAATCTACCTTGTTTTTTGTTCATCTGACAATTAGTACATCGTCATTTACGATCCAATTTGGGAAGATGTTCTCCCAAGGCACAACGTGGAAGAGAAAGATATATCAAAATTATAGCCCATTTGGCAAAAATTCTAAAATCAACTTATTTTGTACTTTTTTCAAACGTGCTTTTAAAATAGTATTTTTGGCGAGAAAAAGGTTGTGTTTGACTAATCAATTTGAAAAGTGTTTTTAAGCAACAGTTAGCATTTAAAAGTGTATCCATCTGTATTTTCTCAAAAGTAAGGAGAAACTATTTTTTCAGCTTCTCAAAAATAGCTTTTGCTTCTATTCAAAATAATTTTTTTGGGGAAAATAACGTTGCCGCTCTCAAAAATAGCCGAAAAATATATATTTATATATTTACATTTCTATATATTGTACATAAAAAATATACAAATTTTATATATTTTTGCCGCTATCAGGTATAAATAATTTCGGCAACGGGCTAAAAGTAATTTTTCTTTATTTTTTCCTTCTAAACGTCTGGCCAAACACCTTAACTTTGGCAAAAAGTATTTTTGACCGAAAAAAAATTTGGCCAAATACTATTAATTAAGTTATGAACAACATATTCCAAGATCTATGCGTATGTACAAAATTTACATTATCCAAATATGTCATGATCTTCCAAATGTCTTTACAATTACGAAACATATCAACCACATTCTTTGCATCCGAGGATCTGATTTTTTTTCTCCAATTTCGTTGAATTCCAAATAGTATTAATTAATTTTTCTACTTTCACCAACTTCCTTGTTTGGTAAAGAGTAGTGTTTTCCTTCATAATTGGACAAGTTGAAAAATAGGACAAAAAAAGTTGGTAGTAGTGGTTGAGTTGAATTTCTTAAGGAACCATATTTCATTGAAAAGGAATATAATAATGTTTTTCCTCTTGTGGTGGAAGGCTACAATTTAATTAATTAATTAATCTTTTAATATTTTTCAGAAAGATGGTGGGGGAAATAAGGTTGGTAAGAGATATTAACGTAATAACAATATGTCTTTACTTTAAATAAAATAAAAAAAGAGGAGAAAAAACGCAAGTATTCTTGTCGTGGACTAGTAGTGGCCCTTCACCTACCAAAAGGAGAGCTCAAACATGAATTAGGAAAATGATATTGTCAAAGCTCAAAGTGTCTTACAAGGAAATTCTCCTTTGCATTTTTTTTTTAAAAAAAGATTCCTCCCAGTTTAGGAGGATTTATAGTGTTTTCACATTTTCCCTCCCGCATGACTCGAACCCAAGACCTAACGGTCGTGGGTGGAGGTCCTTTGCACTTCTTGAGCCGTATTGATGAAAGGAAAGGGAAAAAATAAAAGAAATCATATATAGGCAGGCTAAATGATGAACATTGATCATGTTGCTAGTTTGTGTATTATAGACATACGCAGGATTTTTCATAAACGGTGTCACTATTTTTAGTAAGAGGCCCGTAACCACTAGACTACTAAGTTGTTTTGTTGCAAGTGATGTCACTTTTAATGATGTTATCTTGTATTTTTGTTTTACTTATTATTTTTATATATATATAAATAGTAAAAAATTTCGACGAAACGGTGTCCTGTGACACCCTTTGGATCCATGTAAATCCGCCCCTGATTATAATATAATATGCGGCTGGTACGATTATCATGCAAGTTGAAGGTCATAATAAGGAGATCAAGACACAATTTAGACTTTTAGAGTATAAATAAAATTTCTGAGTTAAAATTGAGATACACATATTGTTTAACTTTAACATAGCAACAATTAATGTAAAAGTTTAAGCCGGGAGAATAATGTCTACTGTTCAAAATTTCATCAGGAGATTAATTTTATAAGCAGATTGAGAGATGTAAATAAATTTCATCCATTTTCTTTTTATTTCCATAAAACTTTCGAAAATGAATTTATATTGGAACTCTACGGCAAAATTAATGAAGTATCAACCCTTGATAAAATTTACCCAGTGTGACAACTACAACGACAACAAATAATAATAATCCTGTGAGTTCCTACAAGTGGAATCTGGGGAGGCTAGAGTGTACGCAAACCTTATCCCTACCCCGGAGAGTAGAGAGGCTATATTCGAAAGACCCTCGGCTCAAGAAGACGGAAAGAGATAATATTGTATTGGGAAAAAACTGAATTTATATTGAAGGTGACGTGGCACGACACGTGGATCGGTCAAATAGTCAAAGCAGGATGGTCGGTTAAGAGGCACGGGCGATATCAGATATGAGGAGAAGAAAGTTAAATAGGCACGAGAAGCTATTCAAAAGATACGAGTCTCGTATCTATTTAACTTAATTAAAGTCAGGAGGTCAGAAGGAATTGAAGATATGAATCTGAGGGCATAAAGGAGTTTAAATTCAGTATTAAATGACAAATACGTTAGAGAATCAATATTGATTCTGAATGATTGTGTAATGTTTCATTTAATGTTATTTAATGCTCATAATTGCCTCTTTAAGGCTAAGGTGTTATACCTTTTCCTAGGAAAGACAACTATAAAAGGAGGAGGTCTCATTATTTGTGGGGACACGAAATATCATTGAGATTACATTGAAGTACAAACTTATTTACTGCTTTATTATTCTCCTAAATTCTTTATTCTTTTCGTCTTCTGATTATCAGTAACCCGATTTTTTCTCTTAATTTCTAGTTTAACTGAAATTCTATTTTTGTGGTTAAACAATTTGGTTCCGTTACCGGGAATCTGATAATCAAGCATATCTAAATCTAATTTTCCTGATTGCGTCAATCATGTCAAATAACAATGACAACACTCAAGGAAACCCAGAAATTCAGACAATCCAACAACTTCAGGGAGATTCCCCACAAGGCTCTCCACAAGGTTCTCCACGAGGCTCCCCACGACGATCTCGTGAAGGCACTCCTGATGGATCTTATACGGATGGACAGGCTCAATTTGAAAACGTTGAAACCATGAATGAGGCTCTGCAAAAACTTATCGTTGCTCAAGTTAATAACGCTCTCCAAGCTTTTGTTCGTCAATTGCCTGCTGTTCCACCTACATCTGCTCCAAACAACAACACTTTGGAGAATCCTCGTTCAGGATTGTTTAATTCTGGCACCGGTGGAACCCCTAGTGAAACACAAGAGAGAGACCCAGGTAATCCAGTTAATTCTGATTTACAAAGTCTAGTACTAACCTTACTGAAACAGCTTAAGGAGCAAAATGAACGCATAGAGCAAATACCTGGAGTACCGCCCGTGATCAAGGGCGTAGATATAGATAAATATTCCCAACAACCATGGAAGCCAAGTGCTGCTCCCCTTCCAATTCCAAAGAAGTTTAAAATGCCTGATATTTCAAAGTATGATGGTACATCAGACCCACGAGATCACGTTACTGCATTCACAACAGGTGTCAAGGGCAATGATTTGACTAAGCAAGAAATTCAGTCGGTCTTGGTCAAAAAATTCTGTGAAACACTCACTAAAGGAGCCCTAACATGGTATTCTCTTTTACCTGAAAATTCTATAAATTCGTTTGCTAAGCTTGCAGATTTATTTATCAAAGCACACTCGGGAGCTCAAAAAGTTGAAAAGCGAATGGAAGATATCTTCAAAATCAAGCAAGGAGACTCAGAGTTGCTTAGAGAGTTCGTAGATAGATTTCAACGGGAAAGAATGACGCTGCCACGAGTACCTGACAATTGGGCAGCCATAGCCTTTGCTAGTAATTTAAATGAGAAGAGTTCAGAAGCCACGAGGCGACTCAAAGAAAGCCTTCGAGAATTCCCAGCAACAACGTGGAATGATGTCTACAACAGATACAGCACAAAGATGAGGATTGAAGAAGACATTATTTTACGACATAAAACAGAAGAAAAGGTAAGTTCAAAGCGTGTGGAAAATGAAAAGAGATCCGGT